ATTATTTTGGCAACTAAGCGTTTTCAAATTGAGACAAGTTTTAATGTTCAATTCCTTGAGTTGATTGTGGTCACAATTAATTAGTTCCAAATTAGGACAATTAATTACTTTCAAGGAGGTGAGTTGATTATCATAACAACGCAGTTCCCTAAGATTAGTGAATCCTTCAATTTTTAACGATCCTGCTAAGTTTTCCTCATTAATATTCAATTCAGTAATATTTTCTTTTTTCTCCTTCTGATAAAATAAAACCAAACAATTTTGTGTTTTTTTATTCACTTGTCACCAATCATCAAATTCTTCCCTTAATTTTTTTCAATTTAAGTTTTGTTGAGGGTTATATCCCTTTCAACGAAGATATGAAGCGAAATTAGCATCACTCATTCTCAAATCTGCTGCTTCTGCTCATTCTCTTGCTTCTTTGCCGCTAAACCCTCTTTTTTCTTATTTTGTAATGAGTAACTCTCTTATTTCTTTGACTAACTCTTTCGCTTGACTTTCGGGTCTGTACTCGCTAGAATAATAAATATTCTCTACACTCAAACTCTTTGGCAAATATTCCAGTCCAGAGTTAATGTCAGTATTAGAAATACCTAAAACCTCTAGTCCAGAAATATTTTTCAAAGGCTCTAAACTACCGCAAAAACGATTATAGATATTTTTCTCGATTCTTTCTTTTTTATTATTACCAATGAACAAATATTGCAAGTTAGTCAGATGACTAACACAAGATAAATCTTGCTTGGTAAAATTATTATTTTCTATATTTAAAGCAATTAAGTTTTCAAAATTGAGATTGGAGTGAAAACAATCAAAACTAGTTAAGTAATTATCACCACAACTGATCGCACTTAATTGGCTTAGACCATTCAGATCTAAACTAGTTAACTCATTAGAATCACACTGAATAGTTTTTAATTGCAAGCAACTGGTCACATTTAAACTAGCCAATCGATTATTTGAGCAATCCAGATGTTTTAAGTTAAGAAAATCGCTTAAATCTAAATAGTCTTCTAAATTTTTATTATTAATATGCAACTCTGCTATGTTTTTCCTTTCGTTTTTTGGATAACTCTGATCTAATCATTCTTGGGCATTTACCATATTTTTGTTGAAATTTATTTGTTTTGTTGTTTAAGATTTACTTTTCCAATCACTACTAGGAACTTAATCCCATTTATACCTAACCAGGAGTGGTTATATAGTTAACTAGTTAGATATCTCTTTCTTATCTGACCATAGGCAAATATTTATTTTTCCTTATTCTTGTTCGCGTACATATACAGACAAACGGTCAACAAAGTAATTACTTACTTTTTTACTTCTTTATCTATATAATAATTTTATTTAATGGAAACACAACCTCCTGTTTTAATTCTGAAAAAACTTCATTATCCACCCCAATCAAATCCCCCC